TGCAGATGCCTAACTTCATTGAGTGCAGTGGTAAGGTTAATTTTAGGGTCCTGAAGAGCTCGGCTCACCTTCAAAATAAGCTGTAGAATAGGGTGAGCTATTTGCATGCTGCAGACAAAGTCAAAGCTCATCACCTGGTAAAGGAGTCCCTTGCCTTTTGGTTTCGTCTCCAAGTGCTTTGTGGAGTCCACAATCGTTCTTACTGCACTAGACAGTTCGCTGTAGCTCTCACGAACGGCCTTTGCTGCTTCAGCACGACATGCCCATCTGGTTGTAGACAAAGACTTCAAAGGTTTCAGCTGTGTGCCGACAGTTTGAAAAATTCGCTCAAAAACAGCATGGCGCACAACACTGTTTTCAATAAAGTTGTACGCAAGTTGCACAACGCCAAAGAAATCAAACATCATTCTGTTTTCTGCTCAAGACAAACATGCATCGACAAGCACCAGGTTTAAGCTGTGGGCATAGCAGTGAACGTAGACGAGCTTGTTGTTCTGCTTTTTGCACTTTGCTTGAACGCCAGCAACGTGCCCTTACATAGTAGAAGCCCCGTCAAAGCAGACGGAACTCGCAAAATTCCAGGAAACATTGATGGCTGTGAGAACTGCTTGCAATGTGAAAAACACAGAGTCGCTGTCTAAATTTTTAAGCCTTTCGAGAGTAAGGAAGACCTCCAGTGGCCTGTTCTTAATTTCGCAGAAGTACCTAATAACAACGGAGAGTTGTTCTAGATGACCGCAGTCACTTGTTTCGTCGCACATGAGCGAGACTGTTTTACCTTCTATGGGGTGGACATCGAAGAAAAAATTGCTGCATGCCGTGACTCTAGGATGTCATTTTGTATTCTGTTGCTGATGTAGGAGGCGTTCTTTGGGCCTGACTCTAAGTGGCCCAGCAAAACGGGGTCGTACTTCTTTAAGATATTGACTATCTCTAAATATAGACCTTGCTCTGAGCTTTCCTTATTTTCACTGTGCCCTCTGAATTGCCATCCTCCCTTTGCGAGAAGAACAACGATGTCAGTAAGGCTCTTTAGCACCTCACGATTTTGTTTTTGTTTTTCTTCAACTTGAGACGCTCGTCGTTCAAAGCTTTCATCCAGCATTGAAGCAATCGATCTGTTTGCTTTAGAGCAATTCCATCACATGACACTGTTAAGGTTAATATTAAGATTTTAATGGCGCAGCGGCAACGGTGGCCATAATGCGCCAAACAAAATGTGTTTTAAAGATAGAATGAAACAGATGCTAGGCTAGAGAAACTTTTTATAACTGGTGTAGATATCCAGTTTTGTTAATAAAATCAAAAACTCGTCTGAGTGGTACTAAGGCATTGTCTCCAAGTAAAAACATAGGATGAAAGGGAAGATGGTTTCTAAAGAGTTCAGGAAAACATGATACGCGCAGTTGATGATAAAACCTACATTCCCATAGAATGTGTAAAACTGTAAGTAATTCCCCACAATGGGCACAAACTGCAACATCTTCGCCACTTAGAAGGTATGTATGTGTCAAACGTGAATGGCCAATTCTCAAGCGGCAAAGCAGAACCTCAAGGTGGCAGTTCTTGTGGAATGAACTTTCCCAGATGCCTATCATGGGTTTAAACACGTGGAGCTTGTTGGTTTCAGTGTCCCATTCCAGCTGCCAAGTCTTTAAAAGAGATTTCTTTAGAAGTGGTTTAAAATCCTGGCAGGGCAGGCCAAAAGATACTATTGAGTCTGTGGCGGATACAGCCAGGCGATCTGCATTCTCATTTCCTGCGATTCCTACGTGACTCGGTACCCAGCAAAATTTGATAGTGCATCCAAGGCGAAGAGCTCTGTTTACTTTAATACGAACATGTTGTGTAAGTATATTCTTTGTAGAAACTCTGGAAGAAATAGCAGATAAGACACTTTGCGAATCGACAAAAATGACTGCGTTCAATACATTGTTGTCCAGAATATGCTCAATGGCTAATAAAATACCATAGAGCTCTGCGGTGAAGATGCTTGCCATTGAGTCAAGCTGTACAGCTCTTTCAAAGTTACTAGAATAAACTGCACAACCAATGTGACAATGTTTTCAACATATGCTGGGATTTCATGTGGCAGCTCGTGCTATTAGAGGAACGAGTGTATTTTATCCCTCTGTGCAATCCAAATAGTCAGCATTGGTGCGGATGCAAATTTGTGGTAATGAATTGTCGTCTCTTTTCAGATTGTTTAGTCTTTAAACGAGAGCTTGAATTATATCTTTTCTGCTCTAGGCCCACACCGTATTTTGTAACAGTGGTAGGCATTGTTATTGATTTTTCTTCTGTAGAAAAGGTAGAAAACTAAGCGAGCGCACTTACCTTTCAACAAATTGAACTTTAACTTGTCACGCCTCGCGACGATCCCGTGTTTCGCATCAAAGTGGCGCAGCAAGCTGTTGGACACAGATCGCATGCAAGGCGGCAGCGGACAGTGTGATCCAGCTCGTGTCAGCGTCCCCGTGAACCTCCTTTAGGTGCCTCTTTAAGTTGTAGATTTTCTTGAAGCACATGTCACAAATCATGCACTTGTACTTATCTGGGTCGGCGTTATGCCGCTAGCATGCACAAAAGCTACGGAGCAACCAGCAACCACATCCGAAGTTCGAACTGAGAACCGTTGAAAACAGCGAGGCGCTAGTGTGCGAGTCATACGTGACGCTATCATCATCATCACCACTACGCGAACGGATTCCCTACGAGCGGTTTTCCCTACGCTGGCGTTGTCCCCAGATCTAGGCACGGGCAGATCTCTGGATAGGCGCTCGCGGGCAAAAGTGCGCACGTTTCGCATGGGCGTCATAGCATTTCAGCATGCGGCGAAGCTGTGTTGCCGTTAATTGCACCGAAATGTACAAGAAAAGCAGCGGAGTGAGTTTCCACAAGTTCCCGGCAGACTCTGAAAGGCATAGAAGGTGGATAATATCCGTGGATCGAAAAGAATGGTCGCCTCGGGCGAACGACCGTTTGAGCGGCAAACACTTTCTTAGAGGCAAGTGCGGCTTCCATTTCAATCTCCGTCCCAAGGCTTGCTTATGTGCAGGGAAACCGTTGTCTGATCGAGACCACCCGGATTTTGTTCCGACGGAGCTCGCGCACAACGCACCGGCCAAGCGCTCGTCGGAGGCTCGCTACGCCCGTGCTACCCAGCAGAAGGTGATCGGCGACAGAACGGCAGTGTTGTAGGCGTTACCGAAAAAAAGTAACGAAATACGTTATTCGTTACTAGCAAATAAAAGATACGTGTTACTGTGCTACGTTATCTAAAAATAAAAGGAACGCGTTACCGCTACCGATAAAAAGTAAGGCACGTTACTTCTGCGTTAATTTTTTAAATTATGATTTAACAGATTTTGCGGTTTTGACGATACAGGTCATATATCAAGAAACATTATGTTCATGCAGAAACTGGACATAATTGCTTTATCTCTTTTTACGGTTTCACCTAAATACTTACGAGAAAAAACGCAAAGAAAAACATGGCTTGACGCCTAAAACACGGAAACAATTGAAGTATAATTTCTTTAAGACTTGGGAAGCAGAAACGACTAACGTAACTACGTTACATGGAATAGTAACATAAGTACGTTACCCGCTACTGTGTCGAAAACGTAACGAGTAGGTTACTACGTTACTGAAAAAAGTAACGCGTTCCTGGTAACGCCGTTACTTGTAACCTGTTACCGCCAAGACTGCAGCACGGACAAACCTTTACTGGTTGCAATGCCTTGTGGTCATGAGGGTAGGAAAAATATCATACCCTGACTTGAAGACGCTCTGTGTATTTGATCAATTAATGAATACACACACTTCTGCAGACCCGCAGTCTGCTGATCCCGCCGGCAGTGCGGAAACCGACTCGATGTAATCGTAGACCTCGAGAGACTTGTACGCCTGCACCATGTCGGCCGTGAACTGGCTTGGCGAAAAAACTAAATAAACGACGACCTGACCCGTCGACTTCCGTGGCAGTAACTTTACGTCGGAAGTCCAGCAGGCCTTGTTTACGGCGTACGGATCCTCGTAGGCAACGCCGTCCACGCACAGTTTGTTTCGATACCGCTACCGTTCAGGCTCGGGCAACGAGCTCAAATAGTCGGGCATAGCATACGACATACGTTATGAGGAAATACGACGCACAAATAAAGATACAAGCGTCCCTACAATGTCAACAACGAGCGCACGCCATAGAGCGCAATGGCGAAAACACGGAGAGCCGGGCTGCTTTTGCCCACATAGCTACCGCGCATGCGCGGCCTTCCGGCCGTGTTGGTAAACAGAGCCGCTACGCGTGTCGGTCTATATGAGGTACTCACTGGGCGCCATATTTGAGAACGCAATTCCCAGCGCATCCGGGCACGGGTTGGGGGGGGGGGGGGGGGGGGGGGGTGAGTGGTATGGTTCCTGTGGCAGAGGTCTCCGCATCCTAAGATCAAACTCCTACCTGGCGTCTGCAAAGAACTGCGATCTTGATGGAGTGGATCTTACGTTGGGGAAGCGCTGTGGAAGCTTTAACATATAGAACATAGTAAACGCGTTTACGCTCTCCGCCAAGTCACATTCAGGACTTAGTAACTCCGCGAGCGAGCCATAGTGCCCCGAACTGGCGCTGCCTCTCAGTAACTCACGAGTCACCACACCGCTACCAGATGCAATTTTTAAATCTGTTAATTTGTTTTAAAATTAGTTTTCTTTACTTCGCTGCCGGAAGCCCGGAAACACTAGTCTAGGCTAGTGCTTCTGGGCTGCCGGCACAACATAGACCTCATCTGAACAAAGAAATAGGTGCAAACATTTCGTTTCCCTACCCCTTCAAAGTTAGATGGAGTTTAGAACGTATTGTACTACGAAACAGCTGGCCACAATAAGATGTTAATTCTCTCCATTGACTTCTTTTGTTTGTTTGTTCTGAAGAGTCATTAAATTGCCCTTCGGTTTTAAAGCTTGCTGATGACTTGCTTTACCACCTGTCCGACACCCGGACAGGTGGTAAACTGTCCAGGTGTCGGGGCAGCGTCTCTGGTTCCTGACCCGAATGTCACTCCCACTCAAGGGCAGACCATTAGGGTAAGGATTCCTCGTTCATTCATCTATCGTTTGCATCTGCATCATTACTTCCTCACGCGCCGCTTTGTTGCTCAATGAATCTTGTAACTGACTGGAGGTACTCCAAATGGTCCATCGCTTTTCTTGTCAATCGCAGGTCCGCGCTCCATGGATCAAGAATGCCATTATTGCCGGAACATATGAAATTTCTCCAACGTAAGGACTTCCATGCATTTTACTCTTAGTGACCTCTCTTACGCTCATTTATAAATAAAAAATTCTGTTCATAATTTTTTTTTGTTTTAGGAGAGAAGGGAACATGTTAGTAAGAAAATTTATTAAAAAGACAGATATTTTAAATTTGTGACGTATTATTCTACACAAACAGGCTGCTTTGACGTCACACCGCTAAGGGGGCGCTGCTGTCGGCACGACGCATGCGCAAACACTGACGCGTTTGCGGACAGCGCGTTGGTCCATAGACTGACAACTTGAACGCAGGGCGTGTCTCATTTAAGTTCACACTTACTGCTTCGCGATTCCTTCTTCGACGTTGTTATCGGCTAAAGGCCATAATATCATTGACTGCGGGGCGATGATAAGATGCTTTAAACTCGCCACGCCTTGCGTTTCTGAAGCTTTCGGTGACACGAAGAACCAATGAAGAGATGTGGAATATCGATAGGGCATGAATCGATGACATCTGTTGAGCGTTTGAAAGGGTCGGAGGCTTCCGCCATCTGTCCTTTCTTTTTTAATTTCTGGGCTCACTATCCATGGCACACGCATCTAGATATACCTACAACGCATCGCCAAGACGGTTTTTCTTTTTTTTTTTTACGTAAGGGCTTTTAATAGTTTTTTTAGTACTCGGTCGCGAGAGTGTGAACGATGCTAAACCGAGTGAGACAAGACCGGTTTTTAAGCCTCCTGCGATGGCTTACGACAAGCTCTGCAGCGGCGCATTCGGTCGTATAAGGCGCCGCAAAAGAGAGTTAAAAGCCGCCCATGTCTCATTCGGTCGCACTCGGTTTCAAGTGTGTCAACGGGATTTTAGGTCTACCCACTAATCGTACCAATCAGAGCACGGCGTTCTGACGTCCCCCGCGCGCTCTCGTTTCATCCTCCCCCTCAGATTCTCGGCGCACGGTCGATAACAAAATGGCGTCCCAGCACCGTCAATGCCAAAAGCTCGTGCAGGAGTGCGCCGCGTTTGCGCGCTCCGGAACCAAAAAAAAAAACAAAAGCGTTCGGAGCAAAGGGGTCAGATGTCGATTTCGTTTTGAACAGAATGCCCATGCCCAACGACTTCGCCCTCACGTGTCGCATCCGTTGCTGGTCGATTAACACGGGACTGCTAAATTCTTTTTTCTTATTGCGTAATTGGTACCTGAACAATAGGACGCTCCAGTAACATGTTTTTTTCTTCTGTAAACCTGGCGGCAAATGACGATGGTGTACGATTTTGCTCTATGTCACGCGACATTGCGAAACATCCCAAATTGCATGATAATTTTTTTTATTAGGGTGGATTACGTTGTGCTTGGAGGCAGCCTCGTATTCGGAGAAACCTCGCTGGTCCCTGATTCAGAAGTTGCGAAAGATATTTGGAAAAACTGCCTCCAACTCGTTCCGAGTTTAAAGGTGAGCTGAGATGTTTGTTTCCTTTTTCTTGTCTTGCTGTTTTATTCCCAAAACAAGTGTACGCCAGGATCAATTCAAACAAAAAATCAACGTCGCTGTAGATCTCTACCGTCAGTGACTTTTTAGACTATAATAATTATCCTGATTTTGATCTAAACTATAGACATCTATCGCACAATGTTGAAAATAATACTCCGTTTAAAAATAACTTTAGAAACAGTTGAGGCTACGCAGTCAGCGAGCCAATTGGAGCGAGACACCTGACAAATTTTTATGAGGGTACACTCGTTCAGTAGAGAGCTGTGGCGTGCTTCGCGCAGTCACTGGTAATCACGACTGAGAACTCTAGTGTTTTACTTTCGCCAAAATAAACTGTGGTCATTGAAAACCAGTAACAAACGTGGCAAATGATTTAAGAAACTCAATCTTTAGGTACAGCGTCTAGTCGGCAGACAATAAATCGCCAACCCTTGATGTGCATGTAAGGGGAAACCTTATAGATTCAGACGAAAGATAACATGATTATAAATTAGGTGCATTAAAATTTATTGAATTACTATAAATAACCTGTTTTTGTTAATAACAGTGGCACCACTACGTACAGAGCGCGACACTGTTAGCGCGAACAAGCGATCGCCGGTTTTTCCAGTTTTCCCCTTTGAAACCAAGGTATGTAATGTAAGCGATAAAATTTCGTGCTCGTAGAATACTATTTAGAAGTAAAACGCGAAAATACGCAAATGTCGTGTTCGCGCTAACAGTGTCGCGATGTGTACATTCATTTCTTAAAGCACGGTAAAAATACGCTTTAGTGTCGTTTATTTGTTTTACTTTCTTCTCGCACCTTTCAGGATGCTGAAATTCTGACAAACCATGTGGGACTCCGACCGTACAGGAGCCGTCTTCGGCTAGAAATCGAGAATCGTGTGTATAATGTCACGGGCAAAGCTGTAAGGAGACTACTTCCTTTTAATTGCTTATTTTATTTACGTTCAATAACGCAGCGATGACTAAATTTCATTCCTATTGTCATCTGAATGCTTCGCACATTTTACAGTGGTATGAGTACTAAAGAGGACGCATAGTCACTTTTATAGTACAGCGCCATCAGTTTACGATTGAAACGACGTCGCGCTAATTCTAGTGCTTCAAAAAAGTTGCGAACAAAGCCTTACATTTATATGGTTGTTTTATAGCCTGACGTCCAATGAACGGCAGCATGAAGGCAAAAAAAAAAAAAAAAGAGTGCGAGCCTCAAGAAGATACTTCAAAATAACATCAATATTGCGTTAACGACCCTATAGCTTGCAATTTCTTGAAGAGAAATGATTGCGTTTCGTTTCTTTGCTTCTTGTGCACAAGTGCTTTTCTCTCAAGTCATTCAAATCTCTTGGTATTTTTTACTATTAATCTACTTTTACTTCATTAGCTCCAAACCCTTTTGTTGTGGGTATGTTTATTCAGAAGTACCAAATACAGTATGAACTATAACATTTTGTTCAAATTTTTATATTTAACCTTGATTTAGAAATCTTTAACTAAATAAAAGGTTAAACAGCGCGAACGAAACAGGGACAATAAAGAAACACTACTAATCCCCGGCACTAACTTAGCCAGTAAAGAGCTCACTTCAACACGTGGGTATTTGTTTGGTAACTTTGTTGCAATCACTGTCGTTAAATGTTTTTTTATTAGAACGTTTTCTTTTTCTTCTCTCAGCTCCCGATAGTTCACCACTACGGTCATGGTGGTGCCGGAATCACCGTTTCTTGGGGAGCTGCAGGTGATGCGGTGAAGCTTCTACAAGATGTCATTCAAAGCAGCAACTTGGCAAGAAGAAGATCGAAACTGTAAATGCTGTACAGAACCAGCTTTTTTAAATTTTATTTATAGAGCGGAAGAGTTTATTTGTAATTCTTGGGTGATTTGATGCTCTTCTGAGATCAGCGTTGCTAAACTCACAATGACTTTGTCCTTCTGGAGAAAATAAAAGCCTGGTCACCATTTACCATCCAATGTTTATATTATTCGATTGTCAGCTTTCCGCGGAGCACCGAACAATTCCAGTCCTATTGAAATAAATCGCTCAAAAGTCTTCTAAAGTGTGTTCGTCTTCGATGTGACGACGTAACGGTTCCAAGCCACCAATAGAAACACGCGAAAGGCTAACCGCAGAGTTGGCAGTAACGTGTTACAAGTAACCCTTTACTTTTTTTTTTAGGTAACGTGGATGCGCGCTCGTCACATTTTTAAAACTTTAACGGATTACGTAATTACGTTACATATTTAGAGTCACGGTGAACGTAGTCATGTTGCTCGTGACACCTTCTTCCCAAGGCTTCAAGAAAGAAAGTTACACCAATTAATTTGTTTTGTGTTCTTAAGCGTTAGGTTTTGGAGTCATAACATGTACCTTCAAATTTTTAAGTCATACCTTCGCGTGTTTTTTTTTCGTGAGTATTCAGGTGGAACCATAAAGAAAGACAAGCTAGTTATGTTCAGTTTCTGAATGGACATTTGTTTCTGAAATATTACATTTATGCACACCGGTAAAGTCAAAAATTTAAAACGTTATAATTCACGAATAAAACGTAGCGCAAAAGTAACGCGCGGTACTATTTATCATTAACGGTAACACATTCCTTTTATTTGCTAGTAACCTGTAACGGAATTCGTTCTTTTTTCTTTTGTTTCCTGTACCGCCTACACGACTGGCCCCCTGGTGAGTGATAGAACTCGTCTCAATGCCCATACACTGTTGGCATGTGAGTACAGCGAAAGGTTGTCTGCTTCTTTTGCAGGGGGCTATGGTGACGTCAGAACGCCGAGCTGGCAGTGGCGGAACGCGACGATAATCTAATAGACCCTTTCCGAAATTCAGTCTGGCCACTGTGATCACTATCATCATCATCTGAAAAATGGCATATGTGCCATACCAATGGCGGCTTTCTAATTACTGATGTTGAAGATACTCCTAAGTTGAGGATTCGAGGCCTATATATTCTAGGCGTTAGCACGTTGCGAAACCGGAATTGAATGCAAGCGCTGCGTAAGTGTTCATTTCTCTAATTCGAGCCCAGTGAACCTGTTGGTGGCACAAAATCGACTTCGAAACCCCTTGACTTTTACAACTTTATCAAGGCGTCTGTCTGGGTTGGCGCTTCGTTCTGACTGGTTGCATCGTTGTGGGAATCGACACAGGAAGAGATGATCCAGAAAAACCTGTATAGCGAAAAGTTTATTCTCGTCTGCCGTTGACATGCAAAAGTGACGGTGCCCGATAAAATACAGCAGGCAACGGGTTCATTGCCGCCATTCGTATGGCAAAAGTTAACCCGCCATTTTAGCCACCAGATGGCACTGAATTTCGGAAAGGGTCTATTATCCGCGTTTTGCCACTTCCGGCTTTCGCCTGCTTCGCGAGTGAGCCCACGAGCTTCAAGTCGTTCTAAAAAGAGTTGATTTAGTGGTTTTCGATGACGCTCAGTAAGTTTCTAGTTGCAACCTGTGTCTATTTTAACTAATTAAAAAGTTAGTTAACGAATTTTAATGAATTAGCCGACTTATCGCAAACATTATCCACCCACAGATTGTCCCCTGGCCGCATGTATAAACCGTTTAAGTGTAACTTTCATGGCCTTTTTGAAACAGATATGCAAAGTTTAAAAAAAAAAAAAAAACACCATGAATTCATATTAATTCAGGCACAAAATTTAAGTCGAATTCCTAATTAAAAAAAAAATCATGTTATCGCGCAATTCCTATAATAAAAAAGACGCAAACTTCAAGTTCGTGGAATTTTGTGCTCTCAAGTTATGGACCGTTGAAGCAGCCAAGGTGGAAACTCTCGTTTTTCCAGCTTATCGGGGGTGCTCATATTTCACTCCATCCCCTTTCCTTACTTTTTACGCTACATTAATTTAACTTTTTCGGAACACTCTCTACATATGCTTTTTATGCTAATTAAGCGTCTAGGTCAAAACATTCTTGATGTATTTTGTTTTATTTGTCAAACCGCCTCTCTGTGACGATATTTGACGAAGTTCAGCAAGCTGTGCTGTCTGACTTAATCAACATATTTTTTATGATCTTTACATCACCGTAAAGCTCCGATTAAGCTTTCTTTTGAGTATGATTTCAATATTGTGCAATAAATATATAATGCATTACATGTTTCTGAAAAAAATTGATATTTCGCAAAACTAACAAGTTTGGAGTACATTTTCTAAAAAAAAATACCTTTTGTTTATTTTATTTTTTATCCAGTGTTAGGTAATATAGTAGTCCATCAGGAACTACCAAAAGAAATTGTAATGTATTTTTGTATGGCCGCTATTATGACTCGAATCTCGGGCTATGAGCGTTTTGAACGGGACTTCGCACAGGCGCTTGCTGAGCAGAATTTTGGCCTATGTAAGGTTTTCTACGTATCGTTAGCAGTTTCCTCAATATCAAACCATAAACATTAATAAAATTTGAAGTAGTGTACCTAAAAAAATTTACTTAGAAGTCCGTATCCACAAGTGCGGGCACAGCGCTTACTCCCTCCCAATTCGGGGGAATGCAGATCGTTAAAGATTTCCTCTGAGGCCTTTTGCTTTCGGCTTTGAGTTTGAAATACCGAACTTGATATGTAATTGTCATATTATATTATGTCAAACAGATATGCAGTGTATATACATATGTATGATGTTGTATCCGACGCTTAGGAAGTACGGTTTATTTTGTGCAGGTACGGCCTCTTTCGTAAAATAACGAGCATTTCGTAGCGTGTAAGGCTTCAAATGCGTGCCATGTGTTTAGGTTTTATTTCTATTTTCAGTGACTCATGCCGGGTTACTTAGACGTTTTCCTCTTAACTTAAGTTTGTCCGGGAGTCTAGATGATACGTATCTTCTCCGTCAATACATAGGGCGAAGATCACACACCTTGCAAATCACGCCAGTGCCAAGTAAATAAATATTGTTAGGATAAATACTGTTGCTTCACTGGCTTTTACGCTCAGATGTTGAGGTAAGTACTAACATTAAATAGACAACCTCACATAGGTCAAAATTCTGCTCCGCTGAGCTCTATGCGAAGTCCCGTTCAAAACTCGCATAGCACGAGATCCGAGTCCTAATAGCGGTCATGCAAACAATATATTACAATTTCTGTGGGTAGTTCCTGACAGACTACTATATTACCTAACTGTAAATAAAAAATGAAAGGAATGAAAGGTGGTTTTTTTTTAGAAAATCGACTTCAAACTTGCAAGTCTTTCTAAATATTTGTTTTTCAAGCAAATGTTACGCGTTATATGTTTAGCGAAAAATATTCAAACTATATTTCAAAGAAAGCTTAATTGGAGATTTACGGTTATCATAAAAATATATTGACTAGGTCACACAACACAGCTTGCTGAACTTCGTCAAATATTGCTGCAGAGAGGGGGCTGAACAATTAAAAGAAAAAAACCTTAAACATTTTATCACCGAGACACTTTAGTAGCATAACTCGCCGTTTGCATCTTCTTTTATTAAAGGAATTTAAAGGTAGTTACTAAAAATTTCAGAGGCGTTAATTATGAGTTAGTGTATTTTTGTGAGTCACTTGTATTACTGGGCGACAAGTCAACAAAAACGAAAATTTAAGCTTTTATAGCCGCCATACAAACACAATATTACATTTTCTGTTTATTTTACTTTATAATGCACTGCAATAGGTAGCTTTATAAAGCACTGCAAAGGACATTACTGGCCATGCGTCATACCTTTACACAGAAATTACTGTCGGCGTTTTCATTTTTACCTTTAATAAAAATTAACTGGGTACAAAAATAAAGCAGCCTAAACCACGGCCGGACTGGAAACGCGCGCTCTCTTCCTCTTCTTACGGCCTTTGCAATTGGGGCAATCGCCACCTCCCGCCGCAATTCGCGGGGGGCGCTGTCACCTCACCCCTGGGCTACCCTTTGCCTTTTGCAGAGAGAGCGTCTGGCAGTGTATCTCAACGCTGTTGCAACTTGCGGCCGAGATTTTTATAGCCTTTGACACCTGATCCTTACGTTTAGACCCTCAGCCACTATCTAATGCGCTTCTGGTGAGCCCAAGATGGTGAATATTTGACGCACATCTCCGAGAGATTCGGGAGTAAAAAGTTGTAAGTATAGACAGCGAATGCAATAAAGAAAAACTCTACTCCTCTGTACCTCCAGGACTTCCGTTGCAACTCAAGAACAGAAGGAGACGAACCCCTTCTACGTGGAGGAACTTTAAATGACAAATAATTCGTACACTCTCGTAAAATTTAAGCAGGCCCAATCTATCTATTGCCGTGGTCTGCATTATCATTTCATAGGCCGCGCATAAAGTCGGTCAGCTGCTGTAGACGAGGGTGTAGTAGTCAGTACAATTTTCGCACAGTGCATATTACAGCCTAAAGTGCTTCCTCGAGGGCTTGTGCACATATCCAGCTAATTTTTCGTTTCTGTCCGTGACCGTCTTTGCATGGTTAATCAGAAGTATTCTGAGGAACTTGTTGCAAATTACACCTGCCAAACGCTTTGAGTGACTGTTGCCAATGCCCCCTGGGCAACTTAGGATTGGCGCGTCTTCAAGATAGGGTGCAATGAGTATACTTCGTTTCAGCTTCGGTCCAGACGTAGCCAAAGCTACAAGCGCGAGCTCCGGGCTTTCAGCATCCCTGCCAAGCACGCGCGCTCGTGCAGTGCAAGCACTGTTCTGGGCCACATGCTCGCGCTTGTAGCATCGGCTGCGTCTGGACCGAAGCTGAAACGAAGTATAGTTGCAGAACTTCGTGCACGTTTGTACGCGGAAGGTGATTAACAGCCTTTAAAAAAACAATGTTGTCCAGAAGTGCGAGGAACCTAGGATTTGGATAATGAAGTCCGCTTTTATCCTAGCCTTGCAATAACACGAACAGAGGATCACCTCTGTTACTTGTAGTCAACAGCATAACACAGGCGGCGCACCCAAACTCACTAATGAGTTTCACCAGATAGCCATGTACGCCAGACCAGAGTATGTCACGGATGGAGATGGAGCGCAAGGCTCTTTCAGTTTTTTCAGGTCAGTGGTAATCAAGTCGGGCACAGCTGCTGTTAACAACTTAGAATCAGTGTCTGACATCTGTATTTGCTTAGAAGGGGCCTTTTTTTTTTTTTTACAATGTGATCAAGGGCTGCTGAGACAGCCCTTGCATGACTTAAATCGGAGCGAAGTTCAATAAACCTTTGCCAAAACAACAACCTACGAAGCTCGAACACCAGCGCAAAACAGCTCGAAGGGACTTTCCGAGTGGGGTGAAGTGGGGTGAGGTGGTTGCGCCCCTGGCGGCAAGCAAGTGAACTACATACGGAGAAAAAATGCCATGGACTCCCGGGCGATTGCAAAGGCCGTAAGAGAAAGAAAGAGAGCGCGCGCTTCCAGTCCGGCCGTGCCTAAAAACAGATTTGCTCCACCTCAACTTTTTTTAGAAAAAGCTTTTTATTAAAAAATATTAAAAATATATTTTTATTGCAGAAAGGGGATATAATATATATATATATATATATATATATATATATATATATAAAGTAATAAAGTCGCACTTCGAAATGTTGTTGGAGTTTTAAAGCATTTAGTGAGTCGACGTTTCGGCCTGAGACTGAAGAAGGCCTGTCTCAGGCCGAAACGTCGACTCACTAAATGCTTTAAAACTCCAACAACATTTCGAAGTGCGACTTTATTACTTTATAGTCTTCGGCATCCTACGCTATATTTTCTTTATATATATATATATATATATATATATATATATATATATATATATATATATATATATATATATATATATATATATATATATTAAAATATTCCGACACGTGTGTTTGGTTTGAAATGAAACCACCCAGCTGTTCTTTATGTATCGTAAACATAGAAAATTAAACGATGTAGCTTACCTTTCTACTCTCCAGCCTTATTTTATGAGCGCCCGCGTGCACCGAACACATTTCCGCTGTTTTTCATGGGAAACAGTTCGGGTTTTAAAAAAACCCGCAACTTGCAGCTGTTGAACGCAGCCTCGTGTTCAACTTCTTGTCGTGATACAACTACAGGCTTTGGTGAAGTACCCCAAGGCATTATTCAATGAACAATAGAAAACGCAAAAAGGAGTCGGATGTCAAGGAGCTGCTCCCCCGATTTACGAATCAGTTCCTTTCTTGATGTCTGGGGCAGAGAACGAGTAGTTGTTTCTTCATCCCGAATCATGGCTTTAAGTCCCGAGCCCACCGCCATTACGCTCCAGCCGGACTTTTACATCTCCGCTCACGCCATACAGCTAGGGCAAAACATCCGGGCCTTAGAGCTGCTGCAAGCTCAAGTCCAGGCGAAGCGCTCCAGGAGCGACAGTAGGGAGTTTTAGTAGACCGTGTTTCCCGCTCCGCTAGCCCTCCGCTACGAAGAAACCGCCACTGCGCCTGCGCGCCGATGGCCTTGGCTGTAGAGTTCCGGGTAGCGGAGAGGCTTAGCGGAGCGAAAAACACGGTCTACTAAAACTCGCTAGTTCCTCGACTTGGCCTGCGGAACCGGAGACTTCACGCGTGACCATCTTCTTCCCCGCTGTAGTCCATGCAGACGGATAGTCGTCGCGGACGTCTCGTTAGAGATGATAGAGTTGGCGCGGAAGCATTTTCCCCACCCTAAGATCTGCTACGACCTGCTGGACATTTCGGCGAGTGAAGTGACCGACTTCGTTCTAAAATACGGCCAGTTCGACCGCGTGTTCTCTTTCTTCTGCTTGCACTGGATAAAGGACCAGAAAACGGCCATGAAGAACGTCGCCATGATGATGAAACCCGGCGGCGACTGCTTGCTTCTCTTCAACGCTTGCACCCGCGTGACGCTACTACGCAGAAAGCTGGCGAGGATGGATCATTGGAAGAAATACGCGAAGGTGAGGTGATGATTAGGGAGTTTTAGCGAGTCGTGTTTCGAGCACACGGTCCCGAAATTATGAACGGTGCAGCTGGTCCATTCTGTGAAACCGTACATGAAATTTCATATATATTAGTGAATCGCAAAACTTGCGCAACTGTGTAAATGATGAACGACAGCGCCATCTTTAAGTTAGTCATGTGAAGCATTCTGCAGCGTGCTCGTGTTTCCGTGGCTCGTGTTTCCGGCGTACGACTGATATAAACAAGACGGCCGGCCTAAATTTAGTCGGAATTTCAAGACCTCCGAAGCTGAATAGAGTAAAAGGTGTCTGAACGGTCGCAAAGGTAGGTGATGTGTCTCCCTCATCTTGAACTTAAATGGTCGTTCACGTTGTGTGTCGTTGTACCGAAGCATTTCGTTTGCTGGCGGTCGTTTGGACTCCGTAGTCTCAGAAATTCGTCTCCGATTACAGAGCCGCGAATCTTGCAGCTAAATCCACTCGGAAAATAAGTCAGCCTAAAGTTTATCTTTTTTTTTCTTTTGTTACAGGAGTGCGAGAGGTCTGTGCCCCCGACCGTCGACCTGGTGGGGAAGGGCAAAGATGCTCTCATGTCGTACGTGCAAGACCTCCTGAGGTCCGCCGATCTTACGCCAATCACTTGCGACGTCTGGCCATGGCCGTCGGAAAGCGACACCCTAGAGAAGGCGATAGGTAATCCAAACCTAATAATTGGATGGAAATCGACCCAGTACCATATATTAAAAATGTACACGATGCAAAAAAAAATATTTTTTGTTTTGTTTTTTGTCTTATGTACTTAAAACTTGTGGTCGGTTTGCCTTGCTGCATACCCGACCCGGAGGAATAACACGGAGCCAACGGTTTCAACAACAAGAAACTACATTTAATAAGACAAAGACAATCACAATACTAACATGATTACTTCAGCTCGGCGGAAATCGGCCGACTGCCATCGCGCCGCTCCTGTCTCGCCTAATATAGACCGTTTTACTGAAAGAGGGCGGGAGAGAAAAGGGGAAAGGGCTACCGGCGCTTTCCCCCTTTCTGATTGTGTAGAAAGAATGAAAGTCCCGGATGAGAGGCTTGGCCGGTGTTGGGTGTCTGCTGTGCCCCAACTTCGTTCGCGCTTTCTTTTTTGTTTTGAACACGCAAACTTAATTAGAGTAACGGGCTTCGATGGCAACAGTTCCCCGGTCATCGGGACACCATTGCTCGGTCATAGGGTGCACGAATAACGACAGAAAGCGTCGAATACTGTCCGAGGACCTATGTAGCTTGCAATAAATCCGGCAAGGCGAGAGCGGCTGCAATGTGTTTAAGCTCCATCGCTTTCCACATGACCCCGGTCTTGGCGGCAGTGGGTTGCGTTCGTAAACCGAAAAGACATATCCTCAACACCATCTTCTCGACTGTGCTCGGAACAGCTTGTGAATGGAGCGCGCACCGAACGCTGTACCGCCGATGAACATGGGGTACGCTCGCAAGGTGCGTGCCAGTTTTCTCGTTATAATTGCTGTTTCAGCTTGTAAAATTTTGAAACTGAATTTATCTTAATATTGATCATTTGCAGTGGTGACTGACTCGATTTCATCATTTACAACACTTAGTTGAAGGCTTATTTCCGCCGCCGAGTGAGGCTAGAAGTTGTTGAGAAGGTAGTTTTATCGGTTTTTCTGAATAGCGATCCCCTGTGCGATGCCAGAGAGCCGGCAAAAGCGCTCCTTGGCGTGCCGCTGGTGGGTTTTTTTGGGTTGTTTCCGTTGATTGGGCGCTTTGAAGCGCTGGATAGTCGCTCCAGGGTACGACTCGCGTGTTGCGATCTGCGTCTTCGAGCCCAGTGTGTACGTTTCTTTGTTCGAGTCATGGCATCCGCCAGTGCGGCAACGGGGGGAACAGCGGCAGCGAACGTGTCAGTGATATAAATTGGAGGTTAGTACTCAAAATGTTGCATCAAATAGTAAAATAATTCGTGGCTGCTTGGACGCTTTCTGCGGTTCGATATAAGCACATCTAGAACGTCTTCGTCGTTCATCCACAATGAAATATGAGAACACGGACATGCAAGATAAAAGCAGCGCAGCAAAACGATCTGTAGCAGCTCCGGGTGTTTACAAAAGTTAATTGAGGTTCCCGTTTCGTGTATCGCTTGTTGATTACTAAAAACGGCAGCGTTGAAATGGGTCTATTGCAAGCAAAAATTTCTGAATGGTTAATCATTTCCAGTCACGCGGAAAGCGGTGGAGCTTCAAAACATTGCAGCCGCACGTGCCTTGCCGAATTCCATGCAAGCTACGAAGTCCTTGGGCGGTATTCGACGCTTTCTGTCGTTATTCATGCACCCTATGACCGAGCAATGGTGTCCCGATGACCGGGGGACTGTTGCCATCGAAGCCCGTGGCTCTAATTAAGTTTGCGAGTCTAAAACAGAAAAGAAAGCGCGAAAGAAGTTGGGGTACAGCAGACGCCCAACACCGGCCAAGCCTCTCATCCGGGACTTCCACTCTTTCTACACAATCAGAAAGGGGGAAAGCGCCGGTAGCCCTTTCCCCTTTTCTCTCTCGCTCTCAAAATGGCGCTACCCACGATAAAATGACGCTACCCTCGGCGAGCGGCACGACGCGCGCGTGGCCGTCTGCTTGCCGTTACCTTGCGGCCGAATGATGGCCGCGGTATTTTGGGTACCGGGCAACCGTGTGCCCCCACACTCTCCCCCCCTTAACAATCGGGCATGTCTATCACGATGTCGTCGGCGTCGAGGGGTGGGGTGCGCTGGCGCAGGAGGTCCGGCCGGCGGCACTGGATCAGCGCGATGGCTCGCTCTAGGTCGCGCTCGTTCAGCCTATTGATGCGGGCGATCCTGTCCGCGTCTGCCCTTTCCCCGTGCAGCTGGCCACGGATGTGGGCCGCTCTGGATATTTCTGGCACCCCACAGAGTGGGCAGTGGAGGCGCAACTCCTCGGCTGTATATTGCGCAGCCGGCTCTGTGGGGTGGCGGTCTTCGAGGGTCCGCCCGCGGAATGGCTCCGGAATATTGGCTGGAGGGCAGCCGTTCTCGGGGCGGGGCTGCTGTCTCCAACGCAGGTCTGATGCCCAGCCGACAGAGGTGGCCCCCTCCAGTATAGTCCAGGTGGCGACGGATCGTTGTGGCCGGCCGCCGCACCGTCTGCACAGGCCGGGTCCGTTGGGCCGTCCTGTAGGGGGTGGCCGCGGTCCACGGTGCCCTGGGCCGCCCCTGCCGCGCCGACGTCCTTGGTGGCCCGGCATACCATGTGCCCGGCCGCCATGTCGTTCTGATGGCGGGGTGTGGTGACGGTTGTTGTCACGGGCCATCTTCGTGAAACAAGAGAGGGCAGGGCAGGTGTTTAGTTGCGACAAAGTTTTGCTGCTACCCCCCCTGCCAAAAAGTTCCAAATGACGGATCTGAGGTGGGCACACGATCGTCCCCCCCTCTCTTGAAAGGGGAGCAGATCCGTGGAAGCAGAAAACTACCCCCAAAATGCGAGAGAGGCGAAGACAGGAGACACACAAAAAAAAAGGTTCCTCTCTCTTTCGCGTCACCGACGTCGCAGGTTATACCGCCGCCTTGGTGGAGACAAGGGGGTTTCGGGAACGGGACTGCCGTCATTGTCGTTCCGGTCCTGCGAGGAATCTTCGTCTTCTGCTTGGAAAAATTGTTTAAGGTCGGTGACATGAACAGGTCCGGTTTCCTCACTAGACTCACAGTTAACTAGTTTGTAAGTGAGTGGTGAGCACTTTTCACGCACGCGAAACGGACCTTCCCACCTGTTGGCGAGGGAGGCTGCGAAGCCTCGAGCGGCGTCACTCAGTGGGTGAGTACGCCGGAGTACAAAATCTCCCACCTCGAACTGCAAGTCACGGCGCCCCCGGTTGTACTGTTCAGCCTGCTGTACCCGGGCGACGTCGAGATTTTCTTTGGCCTCTCGAAGGTTATCGGAGAAGCGCTTTCGCAGGTCCTCTGCGAACTTCACGTAGGGGCGAGGCCTTCCTCCAGACTCTGTAGAAAGGAGGCTGTTAGAAAGCGGGAATGCGAGCTCCTTGCCAAAATTTAATTGGGCAGGAGTGAGACCCGTTGACCGATTAGTGGTCGTACGGGTTGCGAATGCCAGCTCGGGCAGTCTTCGCGTCCCAGTCCTTGTGGCGCTCTGTGTAGGCCACTAACATCATCTTAAGGTTCCGATTTACCCTTTCTGTGATGTTTGCTTGCGGGTGGTATGGGGAAGTTCTTTTGTGCTTAATTCCCAGCACCGCGCATGCATCCACAAACACCTTACTCGTGAGATAGGAGGCATTATCGCTTACAAGCTGTGCAGGAAACCCAAACCTAGCGAATGTTTCGAGTAGACACTCCCAGATTTTTTGCGAATCTAGCTTCCGCAGAGGGAATAATTCGACCCACTTCGTGAAGTGGTCGGTTACCGCGAACAAGTATTGATTGCCGCGGGTACTACGTGGGAAGAAGCCCATGACGTCACAGCAACAAATCTGCCAAGGGCTCTGACTCGCGATTGGTTGCATGAGACCAGGGGGCTGGCCACCACGTGGTTTTGCCTTCTGGCACACTGAGCAGCTACGAGCATATCGGAGCACATCTTGCCTCATGCCTGGCCAGGTAGCAATTTGGGATAACTTTTCGTAAGTCTTGCTCCCACTGCTGCGCCCTGCCAAGGCAGAGTCATGCATGTATCGGATGAAAAGCTTACGTAGCTTGCGGGGTATCACGGTCCGGAACGCCGAGCCACCCGGATCGTCGTCGGCCTGGGGGATGTAGCGTAGCAGGAGGCCGTCGTCGCTCATCAAGTAGGAGTCGAACTCCTCGTCACTTGGGCAGTCGACTGGACCTCTTGCTGCCAGCCAAGCGGACACGCGTTGACAGAGCCCGTCATCCAGCTGCGCCTTGCGAAGCTCCTCGCGGCTCACCAATGTACCCCACCGTGAATCTGGGGATCCTCGTGTCGTGGCCGCGACGGTCACCAAGCCATGGGTATCCTGCGAGTGTTCCTCGGGAAGTGGAGCACGAGAGAGCGCATCAGCAACTTTGTTGGTTGACCCCGGGCGGTACACTATGGAGTAGTCGTACTGTTGTAGCGTAAGCGCCCAACGAGCAAGACGTCCAGCTGGATTCTTAAGTCCCCTTAGCCATGATAGCGCTAAGTGATCAGATTGAATCTGGAACGTTGCGCCATCTAGGTACATATCGAAGCGTTTCAAAGCATGAATAATGGCGAGACATTCACGTTCTGCGACACTGTAGTTGCGCTCGGCTGGAGTTAGCGTGTGGCTCGTGAAAGCAACTGGCCGAAGCACACCGCCATACTCCTGCAGCAAGACAGCACCCAGGCCACAGTCACTTGCATCTGTCTGCAGAACGAACGGCTTGTTCAAGTCTGGGAGCTGTAAACAAGCGTTGTCAGTCACGGCTGTTGAAAGGGCTGCGAATGCGCATTGTTGTTGTTCGGCCCAACACCACTTGACGCCTTTTTTTAGGAGGTGATTGAGCGGTTGCGATATCTCGGAACAGTGTGGAATGAAATCCCTGTAGAACGCAATCATTCCGAGGTATCTTTGTAGGCTCTTTACGTCATGTGGGCTTGGGTATTCCGTTAGCGCGCGCAACTTATCTTCGTTGGGGCGGAGCGTGCCGTTATCCACAACGAATCCAAGGAGGTTAA